GTCTTGGGGGCTTGTTTGGGTCGTCTCGGGGCCCTCTTTGGGCACTTCAGGGCCATCTTGGAGCCCATCTTGGGCGTCTTTTAGGGCTATTGGGCCGTCTTGGGGCCCTCTTGGGGCCGTCTTGGGGCCCCTTGGGCTGTCATGGGGCCTCTTGGAGGCCTCGTGGGCGATCTTGAGGCGATCTTGGGGGCCTCTTGGGCCGTCGGAATGCCGAAAAGAAACAAATGCCACAATCCTTCAACAACCCAAGGCAAATCAATGATGTTGGTCTCTTCGGGCCCTTCTGGAGGACCTCTTGGAGGCCTCTTGGTCTGTATTGGACGCCTCTTGGGGGCCTCTTGGGCCGTCTTGGGCCCCAGGGGGAGTTCTTTTTGGAAAACAGCCAAAACCAAACCGAAAGGGTCCAGCACGCCAGGCACCCCCGCGATGAATCGACATGGGGCGGCGGATCGAAGACGCCTACGGCGAATCACCGCCGCTCCCTGCCTTTTTCCCGGAAAGGGCATCGGCCCAGGGTTCTCTTTTAGTAGGTAAACCTGTCCCCCGGTGCCTGCTTGAGGGAGGCCGGCGAATTTTTTCCCTGATAAATAACGAGGTCGAAGGAGGCCGGCGAATTAAAATTTGAGGATGTCTCGAGCGAAACGCTTGTTTTTGAAATCCCGATCGATAAATCACAGGGTGCGGGCCACTTTTTCGTGTGTTGAGGATGTCTCGAGCGAAACGCTTGCTCCGCAGAGTTTGCCGAGGATGTCTCGAGCGAAACGCTTGTTTTGCAGAGCCGACCGCGACGCGGAAAAGCGCCCCGCGCGAAGGAATTTCGATGATGTCTCGACTAATTCCTTTGTTTTTGTACGATTTCCTGGAATTTTGGCAGGATGTCTCGAGCGAAATGCACGACCCCACCCTAGCACGACCATACCCCAGCACGACCACACCCCAGCACGACCAGACCCCAGCACGACCCCACCCCAGCACGACCCCACCCCAGCACGACCATACCCCAGCACGACCACACCCCAGCACGACCCGACCCCAGCACGACCCTACCCCAGCAAGACCACACCCCAGCACGACCACACCCCAGCACGACCACACCACAGCACGACCACACCCCAGCACGACCACGCCCCAGCACGACCACGCCCCAGCACGACCACGCCCAGCACGACCCCCCCAGCACGACCACCCCCCAGCACGACCCCCCCCAGCACGACCACCCCCCAGCACGACCACACCCCAGCACGACCACACCCCAGCACGACCACACCCCAGCACGACCACACCCCAGCCCAGCACGACCACACCCCAGCACGACCCGATCGATAAATCACAGGGTGCGGAGCACCCCAGCACGAACCCACCCCAGCACGACCCCACCCCAGCACGACCCCACCCCAGCACGACCACGCCCCAGCATGACCACACCCCAGCACGACCACACCCCAGCACGACCACTCCCCAGCACGACCCCACCCCAGCACGACCCCACCCTAGCACGACCACACCCCAGCACGACCACACCCCAGCACGACCCCACCCCAGCACGATCACACCCCAGCACGACCCCACCCCAGCAAGACCACACCCCAGCACGACCGCACCCCAGCACGACCATACCACAGCACGACCACCACCCCAGCACGACCACGCCCCAGCACGACCACGCCCCAGCACGACCACGCCCAGCACGACCACCCCCCAGCACGACCACCCCCCCAGCACGACCACCCCCAGCACGACCACCCCCCAGCACGACCACACCCCAGCACGACCACACCCCAGCACGACCACTCCCCAGCACGACCACACCGCCTTGGTTGAGTGGTTGCCTGTCGTCGTGGAATGTTTCGTGGGGTGTCTCGTGGAATGTTTCGCGGGGTGTCTCGTGAAATGTTTCGTGAGGTGTCTCGTGGAATGTTTCGTGAGGTGTCTCGTGGGCTGTTTCGTGAGGTGTCTCGTGGGATGTTTCGTGAGGTGTTGCCCAGTTGGGTATCATGAAAACGTGTCCATGCTCCACATGTCTATATCCCTTTCCGGGTTCGTGGGTCCATCATGTTGGGAACGCCTATGTGGCCGAACGTTGTGGCCAGATGCCTGCCAAGCTATCGGACTATGTTCCCTGAATCGGTTTGGAAAGCGTTCGGGGAACACGGTGGGGGATGAGGAAGGAGAGGACAGGGAGGAAGAAGGAGAAGGGAGGAGGAGGCCTCTTGGGCGCCTCTTGGGGCACTCTTGGGGCCTCCTGGGAGTTTGCCGGAGGCCTCTTGGAGGCCTCTTTGGGGCCTCCTTGGGCCTGCTGGGGGCCTTCGGGGGCTTCTTGGGGGCTCTTTTAGCCGTCTGGGGGTGTTCCTGGCCTGTCTGACGCCGTCAGAAGCCGTCTTGGGGGCCTGTTTGGGTCGTCTTGGGGCCCTCTTGGGGCATTTCAGGGCCGTTTTCGAGGCCATCTTGGGCGTCTTGGACGCCTCTTGGGCCGTCTTGGGGCCCTCTTGGGACCGTCTTGGGGGCATCTTGGGGCCATCTCAGCCGTGTTGGAGGCCACCTTGGTCCTCTTGAGGGCCTCTTGGGGGCTTCTTGGGTCGTCTTGGGGGCATCTTGGGCCGTCTTCGGCCGTCGAAGTGCCAAGAAGAAGCAAATGCCCAAATCCTTAAAGCAACTTATAGAGAATCAATGATTTTGGTCTCTTCGGGCCCTCCTGGAGGACCTCTTGGAGGCCTCTTGGGCCGTCTTGGAAGCTCTTGGGGGCCTCTTGGGCCGTCTTGGGCAATATTGAGGCCATCTTAGGCCGTCTTGGATGCAGCTTGGGCCGTCTTGGAGGCATCTTGGGGTCATCTTAGCCGTCTTGGAGGGCGATCGTGGCCGTCTTGGAGGCCTCTTGGGGCCCTCTTGGGGCCGTCTTGGGGGCCTCTTCGGCCGTCATGGGGCCATCTTGGAGGCCTCGCGGGCGATCTTGGAGCGATCTTGGGGGCCTCTTGGGCCGTCTTGAGCCGTCGGAATGCCGAGAAGAAACAAATGCCACAATCCTTCAACAACCTAGGGAACATCAATGATTTTGGTCTCTTCAGGTCCTCCTGGAGGACCTCATGGAGGCCTCTTGGGTCGTGTTGGGCCGTCTTGGAGGCTTCTTGGGCGAACTTGGAGGTATCTTGGACTCTCTTGGGCCGTCTTGGAGGCTGTCTTGGATCATCTTGGCTGGACTTGGATACAATCTTGGACCGTCTTGGAGGCCATGTTGGGCCAGCGTGGCCATATTGTCGCCATCTTGAGCCATCTTGGAGGATTTGTCTTGGAAAGGGCGCCAGTCCAGGGTTCTCTTTTAGTATTGTTACTTCCGGTTTCGACTTGAAGGAGGCTAGCGGAATTATTTTGCGATGAATGCCGGGTTTGAAGGAGGCCGGCGGAATTATTCTTGAGGACGTCTCAGGCGAAACGTTGTTTTTCAGAATTTGTTGAGGATGTCTCGAGCGAAACGCCGGTTTTGCAGAGTTGGGGGATGTCTCCAGCGGGGGCCTCGTGGGGGGCCAGAATTCAGAGGATGTCTCAGGCGAAATGCTTGTTTTCACGTCCCGCTCGGAGGAATTCCGAGGATGTCTCGCGCGTGCCGCGTCCCGCGCGCAGGAATTCATAAGATTTCCTTATTACTTATTAATCAGTTTGTTTTTCCATGATTTCCTTAGCCACACAGGGGGGTATCTAACATGTCCTGCCCGAGCTGGAACCACGCCGCTTCACATGTCCAGGGCACCCAGGTGGGTATCCAACATGGTGGTCCCGAGCTGGTACCACGTTTTCCCGTGTCCTGGCCACGCAGGTGAGTATCTGACATGGTGGCCCCGCGCTGGAACCGCGTGCTTTCACATGTCCACGCCACCCTGGGGGGTATCTAACATGATGGTCCTGAGCTGGAGCCGCATGCTTGTACGTGTCCAAGCCACCCATGAGGTATCTAACATGGTGGTCCCGAGCTGGAACCAAGTGTTTTCACATGCCCAGGCCACCCAGGGGGTATCTAACATGGTGGTCCCGCGCTGGAACCACGTGGTTTCACGTGTGCAGGCCACGCAGGTGAGTATCTGATATGGTGGTCCCGAGCTGGAACCGCGTGTTTTCACGTGTCCACGCCACCCAGAGGGGTATCTAACATGGTGGTCCCGAGTTGGAACCATGTGTTTTACGTGTCCAGGCCACCCAGGGGGTATCTAACATGGGCCTCTTGGATCTTTCCTGGGACTCGAAACGGAACGACGACAGTTGATTTGCATTTGGTATCGATTCGTTTGCTTTTTTGCCTTCAGGCGCTTCTGGGCGTTCCTGGGCCTCCTGCGTTCCAGACGACCGCATGTTAGATATCCCCCCTGGGTGGGCTGGACCACGTGTTTTTACGTGTGCAGGCCACCCGGGGGGTATCTACTATGGTGGCCCCGAGTTGGAATTTGTAATATTTAAGATGTGTGTTTTTGGCCCTCGTTCTCAGCGCACCGTGTCAGTTCACAGCACCGATGCGACCGTAGCTGTTCTGGCTCAAGCTTCTGAGGGCATGCTCCCAGTGGGTTTCTTGGGGCTTGCTCGCGATCTCCTCCCCGCGGCCCTCCACTTTCGTACATCGTGGCTGGCGGCGAGCTGCCCCGCGTGCCCCTCGGTCTCCTGCCCATCGGTGACGCTGCCGAGCTTCCCAGGCCTGCAGTGCGGCGACTGCAACTGCCCCGAGGGGCAGGCCACCTCGCTGCTCTGGGCCAGTGCAGCGGTGGCCCTGTGTTCGGCGGGGGCCGGGCTGGCCGTGGGCTGCGCTGGGGCCAGCTTGCTGGGGTGTGCACGCCATGCCGCGGGCGCGGCTTGGGGGTGCTCGAGCGGCGCCAGCAACGGCGGCGGGGAACCAGCCCCTTCGTCCCGTGGGGCGGGGGTGCGTTCCGCCAGGGCCGCCGCGCTCCCAGCGCCGACAGCGCCCGCAGGGCCGGCTGTGACCGTCGTGGCCACCACGCCCATCTCGCTGGCCCGGCGACGGGATGGCTGCTAGGACGCTCGACATCCGCGAGGCCCAGGTGTTGGTGCACTACCCGGACGAGGATCTGTCATGGCACCACCGAGTGTTGCTGCATCGGGTCGAGGGCGCCTTGTGGCTGGGGCTCACGCCTGATCATGAGATTGCGAGGGTGGACCTCTGCGGCATCACGTGCTGGATTGGTCGTCGGCCTTCCCCGCCCAGTTCGCGCCGCTGGTGCACGCCTTCGATCCGATCGACGGCCAGACACTGCGAGACGCGAAGCGGCAGGCCCAGCGTCGGGCTGCCCTCCTGGGCGGTGGTGAGGTCGAGGACGCCGAGGAGTATGTGTGGCTGCTGGCGAGTGTCACGGACGCGCGCTTCGGCGAGGCTGTGCCGGCCGACGTCATCGAGGATGGCGACAGGTGCGTCTCGCTCGGCGACAAGGGGTCTGCATGATCGACGGGGAGCCGCGCTTTGTGGAGCGGGTCCCACGAGGCGAGCGAGACAGCTGGGTGCAGTCATGCCGCGAGGACGTCGAGGACATCCGGGCGCTGGGGGGCCACCGCGCACGCGTGGGACGGCGGGATCTCGACTTCAGGGATGCCGTCGAGTCGATGCGAGAGGTGACCGTCGCTGACTGGCCCGACCAAGGGCCGCGGGCGTGCCTCGAGTACCTGAAGAGCATCGCGCTGGGGGCTGGCAACCTGCTGACCTACCAGGCGGAGTGGCAGCGGCTCAGCGGCGTGGCGGAAGGCGGAGCTCAGGGACACGAGCATCGCTGCCACCTCGAGACGCTGCGCAGAGCGATCTGCCACGACCAGCTGAATGTGGTCAACCTGGCGTGCTTCGAGCACATCGTGCGGCGGGTGATCCAGGTCGAGATGGCCGTCGAGAAGAACCCGCGGCACCCGGGCTTCAGCGGGCTGGAGGACGTGCTGGCTGGGCCGCGCTCAGTGAGCGGCTCGGCCCACGTGCCGCGGCGCCTTGGGCAGGTCACCAATCGCCAGAAGGACCGCGCCCAGATCCTCAAGCATCAGAGGCTCTACCAGGAGGAGGCGACGAAGCGGCGGAGCGTGAAGGGCGACGGCAAGGGCGAAACACGCGACGGCTCACGGGCCAAGCAGAAGGCGAAGGTGAAGAGAGGGCCCCCCTCGGCGGGCGCCGATGGGGGAGGTGGGATGACTCCCCGCAGTGGCGGTGCCTGCGCAGCGGGCTTGGCCGAGCCTGCGTCTGGCACGCGCCGCCGTCCTGGAGTCAGCGAGCTGCCAAAGAAGCATTGGTGGCCGGACGGCCACTGGCTCCACAGCGACCCGCCCCCGCTCCCATACAGCATGAGGAGGGGCGGCCGACGGGAGCAGCCAGGTCCACGGCGCGCATATGGCACCACAGGGCCAAGAAGCAAGAGCGGGTTTGAGAGGCGGTTGAGGCCCTCAACCACTTCGCTGCTTCCAAGACGAATTCGATCGACGGCAAGGTTCATCGCGTGCGTCCGCGGGGGGGGCCGCCGACTGCGGTCCAAAGGATTGCTCTGGCCCACGTGGTTTGGGGGGGTCAGTGGCTATGGCGAGCCCCCTCGCGAAGCGACGGATGGTGAGTGGCCCCTTCGGGCGATCCTCAAGTCCGCCGACCAGCGCGAGCTGGAGCCGCGGCACCTGGCGAGCTACGACCCCGACAAGCTGCACATCGCGTCCGGCGCGCTGCGGCCTGTCCCTGCGTCGGCCTTGCCCCCAGAGGCTGCTGCTGGCTACTTGAGGCACTTCGAGAGCCAGGTGGGGCTGACCGCGCCGGAGCTGGAGGCTCGGCTACAGACCGCTGGAGGGCTCCCGACACCTTACTGGGGCCCCGCCCTCCGCGGAGATCGGTCAGCTCGTCATGTTTTTTTTTCCGCCGGCTGGCGGCGGCAGGAGTTGCGGGGTTTCGCAGGGCGATCAAGAGCCGCTGTGGAGTTTTTTTCGCGCACAAGAAAGATGGTCGCATTCGTTTCATTTGCGATGCTCGTCGGGCGAACCTCTGCCACAGACGGCCCCCGCGGACAGTGCTCGGCGGCCCCGCCTCCCTGAGCGAGCTGGACCGCAGCCCCCTCGCCGAGGCCCTCGGCGGCTTCGGCGGAGCGCTGGGGCTGCCCCTCGACCTCCACGCGTCGAGCGCGGATGTGAAGGACTGCTTCCACCAGCTTGAGGTGGGGGGCATCGCGAGCTGGTTCGGCTTCGACTGCCCGCTGACCGTGGAGGAGTGGGGCGCGGGGATCTCCCACGTCTACGACGACGACCTCAAGGGGCCCACCCCGGTGAAGGCAGGAGAGTTGCTCTACCCTGCGACGCGGGCGCTGCCCATGGGGTGGCCGTGGGCCCTCCACTTCGCGCAGGAGGCCGCGACCGCGCTGGCCGAGCGCGGATGCCCAGGGGGCAGCGAGCAGCTGCTCCAGGACAAGCGCCCCGCCCCCCTCCTTCGGCCTGGGCGCCCGGTCAGCGCCGCGTACGTGGACAACTTCGCGGGCCTGGGCGGCTGCAGGGAGGGCGCCGTCCGAGGGGTGAGGGGCTTCGAGAGAGCTGCCGCGGACACGGGGCTGAAGCTCCATGTGCCCGAGGTCGCGCTCACCGAGCTCGAGTCGCTTGGGCTTGTGATCCACGGGTCCGACAAGACGCTCCGGCACGCGCCCCATCGAGTTTGGCGGTTCCATGTCGGGGCTAAGGAGCTCTTCCGGCGCGGGCGCTGCACGCCCGCCGAGCTGCGGGCTTGGGCTGGGCGCGCTGTCCACCTCTTCTCGCTGCAGCCGCTGCTGCCGTCCATCTTGCAGGACACGCGCACCTTCGTCGGGAACGGCCTCGGTGCTCGACGCCTTCTGCCTCGCGGAGTTCGGCTCGAGCTGCGCCTGGCCGCCGCGCTGGTCTTCTTGGGGGGCGCCAACCTGGCGGCCCCCTACGACGACGAGGTGCACGTCTCCGACTCAGCGACGGGCGGCTACTGCCTGATGCACGGGCGGAAGCCGACTCGGGCGGTCCGGGGCGCCTGGCGTTGGCGGGGGCAGTGGCGCTTCGTTGAGGTGGAGGCGGAGTGTGACGACGCCCACTACACCAGCGCCTACCTGGCGCAGCTGCGGGGCCTTCCAGCAGACGACGAGCTGGAGATCCCGAAATTCGCCGACGTGCAGCTGCGTGCTGGACGGTCGACGGGCGCTTGGCCCTCGACCGAGCTGGGCCAGCTCGCCTTCGGCAAGGTCGGCCAGGCTCGGCGTCGGCAAGGCTGCGGCGCTGTGGGCGGCCGGCACCGCCAGGAGGTCGAGCTCCTGAACGTGGCCCCGAAGCTACCCGTGGCGCTGACGCGCGACGAGGGCTGGCGGCGCGCGGCGGCCGGGCGGTGGCAGCGCCCAGAGGGGCGCATCAATATCAAGGAGGCGAGGGCGTGTGTCATGGGGCTGCGCAGGAGCTGTCGGGACCCTCGGCATCACGGTCGTCGGGCCCTCTCGCTGCGCGACAACATGGCGACGCGTTGCTGCCTCGACAAGGGGCGCTCGACCTCCAGGGCGCTGAACACACAGTGCAGGCGGGCCGCCGGCTACGCGCTGGGTTGCGGGATTCGGGGGCGGGTCCGCCACATTCCGACCGACCTCTGCGCGGCCGACTACGGCTCGAGGCCGCGCGAGCCGCCCGAGCCCAAGTGGCTGCGCGCGGCGAAGGCCCGCCGCCAGGTGGTGGCGCCTTGGGAGCCTGCACGTCCTCCTCCAGCTCCCTCGAATCTCCCGAGTACGACCTCAGAGCCTACAGAGCACGAGCACGAGACTTCCCACATCCCTTCTCCGCGTCTTCCAGACGTCCCAGTCCAGCTGGTCTCCGCGCGCTGCGGGCCGAGACAGCTCTCGAGCGCAGCGCTGGGGGCCGCTCAGCGTCGGCCGAGGCCAGACATGCTCGCGAGCCAGAGTCGGCAAAAGTCTTCTTGGAGCTCTTCTCGGGCACTGGGGGCCTCAGTCGGGCGCTTGTATCTGCGGGCCTACGCGTGGGCTTCTCGTTCGACATCCGTAAGGGCGCTCAGGATGATCTATCTCGTCGGGCTACCCAGTTACTGGTTCTGGAGTGGTTGCGATCTGGAAGAGTCTGGGGAGTTCACTTGGGTGCACCTTGTAGTTCCTGGAGTATAGCCAGAAACGGCGTGAGGGACTTCAAACGTGCTCGAGCTACGGGGCGCTTGGGGTTTGAGTTTGCGTTGTTCACGAGCGAGGTGGTCCGTGCTTGTCAGAGGTGCAACATCCTGTGGTCCATCGAGAATCCTGCGTCGTCGGGGTTGTGGAGCTTCCCTCCGGTCGGGGGCCTGGCTGGGCTGGCTGGGGCTCGCTGGGTGAAGGCCCCGATGTGCGCCTACGGGGTCCTGGCCAGAAGTTGGCGGCGCTGCTGACCAACGCGTCCACGCTGGCATCGCTGGCGGCGGAGTGCACACACACACACACAAACACTTCTCATCCTCACCTCTCGGGTCGAGTTAAAGTCGCAGATCATCGGGGAGGGGTCAGATGGGTTCGCCTGACGGAGCTGGCGGGGGCATATCCGTCGGCTCTCTGCTCGAGCTGGGCTGCGTGCCTGACCAAGGCGGCCCCCGCCATGGCTTTCGGTGCCTCTCCGCCGTTTGTGGGGGCATGGGCTGGCGAGCTGGAGGCCCTGGTACCGCGACGGCGTCGCGGCGCCGCTGAGGGCGATGCTCGGCCGGCTGACACGGCAGCGGGCGGCAGCGCGAGCTGTGCCCGGGCCGACCGCTACCTCGCGGAGCACGGTGTCCTCTTCGGGAACACCAGCGCGGTCGAGCGGGCGGCCCTCCAAGCTCGCGGAGACGCTCTCAACCCGCCGAGCTGGTAGCAGCTGGGCGCCGGCCGCCCGTCGGCGGCACGCGTCTGTCGCCAAGGCCGCCGCCCGGGCCCGCCGCGCAGCCGCCGCAGGTCGCTCGCGGGCAGACTACCTCAAGCTGAAGGGCGTGTCGGAGGCTACCCTCGCGCTGTACAGGAAAGGAGTTGATGAATTTGAGTCATGGTGCCGACTGAACGGGCGCCAGAACAACAACCTGGCCAATGTAGATGCCAACCTCGTTGGCTGGATGACGGAGCTGTACTTCGCCGGGCTGGGGCCGGCTTCTGGTCGCAACGGGCTCTTCGGGTACCTGCTGCCACGCGGGGACAACCGCGAGTCTGGAGTCGGCCAGGCGCGGCTCCCACGAGCCCGTCGGCAGCTCAAAGGCTGGTGCAAGAGCGACCCGGGGGCCGTGGGCATGCCCTACCCGCTCTCAGTGCGCTGGCAGCTCGCGGAGGCTTTCCTTGCCGACGGCGAGCCGAGGCTGGCGGCACTCGTGGTGATCCAGACGGACTGCTACCTCCGGCCCTCGGACGCGCTGGCGTTCGGGCCCGAAGACGCGCTGGTCGGCTGCGCCGACGCCGGTGCCGAGTACGCCGGGAAGGTCGTGCTCCACCTCGCCCCCGGCGACCGCGGGCGCCCGACCAAGACGGGCATCTTTGACGACGCCGTGGAGGTCGGCGTGGCCGGACGGGGCTGGGCCAAGGACGCGGCCGCAACGTTGGCCCGATGCATTGGGCCCAGCTGCCGCCTTTTCCCTTTCACCCTGTCTCAGTGTGAAAAGAGTTTCGGACGTGTCCTGACACGCCTCGGCCTCTCTTCTTTGGGCGGATCGCCCCGCGGGCTGTGTTATTCTGGCCCTTCCAACGATCGTTTCAATAAGGCCTTGGATCTCCTCGCCATTCAGAAGAGGGGCCGATGGGCGGCCTTCAGATCTGTCACCCAGATGAAAAGTCAGCTTACCTGCTCAAGCAATTGTCTAAGACGAGCCGAGGTCAGCAGCAGAGCGCGAAGCGTGCGGCCTCCTCTTCACTTCAGGCCCTTTCGCACTCGCCCCGACAGTTGCGGAGGCCAGCGTCCTGCAAGTTCCTGCCAGCAGCCGCAGCTCCCAGACCCAAAAGGGGTTTCGGGGGCACGGGTGCGTGATCTCGCACCGCAGGCGCTCGAGGCGCCTCTTGAGTTTCCAGAGTTGCGAGGCTTGCGGATCGATCCAGCTGCGTCCTTGACCTTTGAAGTCAGCGTCGCAGAGAGAGTCACTGTCGACCGCGAGGCGGCTGCTCTTCTTGCATGAGAAAAAGAGAAGGCCCAGGGCTCTGGTAAAGCGGCTTCAGACGGCCCCAGAACATATGTTTTTACGTGTCCAGGCCACCCTGGGGGATATTTAACATGGTTGTCCCGAGCTTGAACCACGTGTTTTTACGTATCCAAGCCACCCAGTGGGTATCTAATATGATTGTTCTGAGCAAGGACCCCGTGTTGTAACGAGTCCAGGGTATTCAGGTGTGTCTATAGCATGGTTTCCCGAGCTGGCACCATTCGTTTTTAGGTGTCCAGGCCATCCAGGAGGACATCGAACATGGTTGCCCCGAGCAAGGACCACGCATTGTAACGTTCCGTAGCGCGCCCCCTCGGCACCTCCCGCGGTGCGCCCCCGTGGCGCGTCTCCTGGCACGTCGCTCGGCGCGTCCTTTGGGGCGTTCCGCGGCGCGCCCCCTTGGCATGCACCCTTGTCAATTTGCTCTGGGGCAGCCGCTATGTGCGGAGGCAACTCGAGCTTAAGATCCAGACCAGTTCGGTCAGGACTCGGATGCACAGGAGGACTCGAGTCACAACGCTATAGAGCACAATCGCCGCATGACACATCGCAATTCAGCACAGCGCAGCACAGCACAGCCCTCGGCACGGTACATCAATATCGATACACTCAGCATCGCAATTTGGCACGTTCCGCGGCGCGTCCCCTGGCGAGCCCTCCTGGCACGTCGCGCGGCGCGCCCCCCGGCACGTCCCGTGGCACGTCCATTGGCACGTTCCGTAGCGCGCCCCCTCGGCACGCCCCGCGGCGCGTCTTCGTGGTACGTCCCTTGGCACGCCGCCTGACGCGTCCCTTGGGACGTTCCGCAGCGCGTCCTCCTGGCACGTTCCCTTGCCAATTTGCTCTGGGGCAGCCACTATGTGCTGAGGCAGCTCGAGCTTAAGATCCAGATCAGTCCGGTCAGGGCCCGAACGCAAAGGAGGACTCGATCCACAACGGTATAGAGCACAATTGCCGCATGGCACATCGAAGTTCAGCACAGCGCAGCACAGCACAGCCCTCGGCGCGGTCCATCAAGACCGACACACTCAGCATTGCAACCTGGCACGTTCCGTGGCGCGTGGCCTGGCGAGCCCCCCTGGCACGTCGCGCGGCGCGTCCCCTGGCACGCCCCGCGGCGCGTCCATTGGCGCGTTCCGTAGCGCGCCCCCCCGGCACGTCCCGCGGCGCGTCTTCGCGGCGCGCCACTTGGCGCGTCGCTTGGAGGCATTTCATTTCCAAGCGGAGGAAATACTTTCCAACCCAACTTAAATTCCCAACTTAAGTAGCATCCCCAGCAACACGTGCAATTTCCAATTCTCCCGCGCACATGGTAATATGCATCGATAACAATACTCCACACATACAGCTCTGAAATTGCATGCCTGGGAGTGCGTGCGTTATTTGGCACAGTGGATATGCATTGTACTCACATGCAAAACCCCCTCGTACGCGTCGTTCTCCTCGGTTCTGTCCGCTGCCCCGCCCCCGTCCGCCGATGCGCTCGCAACCGAAGCGTCGAGGCCCAGGTGTCTCCAACCTCCTCGGCCTGTTTCGCGCGATGGCGCTTCGGGCGGCCATGGCGCGGAGCCTGGCGTCAGCCCCGCGCCCGCAGGCTTGCTAGTCTGCGACGTTCCCCCCATTCGTTCTCCATGTTCCCAGTCGCCATCGTCGTTGTCCTCCCCCGCCTCCACCTCCTCCTCCGCCCCCTCCTCCACCTCGCCTTCCTCATCCGTGTCCTCGCCCTCTTCATCGCCCCCCCCCCTCCTCCTCGCCCCCCCCCCCCCCCCCTCGTCGCCCCCCCCCCCCCCCCCCCCCCCCCCATCGGCCCGCTGCAGCAGGCCCGGCGGCAGAGCAGGCCCGCGGTCGCCAGCGAGCAGTTGGGGCCCCCGGCCGCCGAGGGCCATGCTGCTGAGCCCCCTGATGTTGCTGCTGAGCCCCCTGCCGCCGAGGCCTTGTTCAACCTCGTCCGACGCCCACCCGCCCTCTCGCCCGTCCGTCCGTCGTTCCGAAAACCCGTCTTCTTCCTCATCGTATCCCCCTCCTCCTCCTCCTCCTCCTCCTCCTCCTCCTCTTCCCCCTCCTCCTCCCCCGCCCTCGCCCCCCCCTCCTCTTCCCCCATCCTCCTGCTCTTCCGGCGGCGCCTGCTCCGACGGCCCCCCCATCGTCGTCGCCGATAGCGCAGGCGGCGAAGGGGCGAGCGAGGAGGCGGCGACCCAGGCTGACGCATCGGAGGCATGACAAGGATGACGATGAGGAACGAAGGCCAGGCGGATGCGTCAAGAGCAATATGAGGAGGATGAGCATCGAAGCT